TGACAAGATAAAGGCCTGATGGATCCCAGTCATGCCTCCTATCTACCTGGCTGCAGCTTTTTTTTTTTTTTTTTTTTTTTTTTTTTAGTATTTATTTTTTAGTTCTCGGCGGACACAGCATCTTTGTTGGTATGTGGTGCTGAGGATCGAACCCGGGCCGCACGCATTGCAGGCGAGCGCGCTACCGCTTGAGCCACATCCCCAGCCCCTGGCTGCAGCTTTTTATTTTCCTTTTGACAGGATCCATGGCCCTAGAGTTCTTAGATGGAAAGAAGTCCAGCTTTTCTAAGCAACCTCATGAAATGTAAATGCCTTCTTTATTTTAATATTTATTTTTTAGTTGTAGTTGGACACAATACCTTTGTTTTATTTATTTTTATGTGGTGGTGAGGATTGAACCCAGGGCTTCGCATGTGCTAGAGGAGTGCTCTACTACTGAGCTACAACTCCAGCCCCTTTAAATGCCTTCTTGAGATGCTGATAAAAATGAGCTCACCCCTACATCCAGGTCCTCAGCCTTTTACAAGTCAAGCCTCTCAGATCCTTGCTGGTACACTTCTCCTAGTAAGGTGGCAGTGAGGGTGCTGAGGGAGAACAGTACTGTTTAGGACAAAATAACTGACTTTGGATTTGGAGAGCTCAGAGCTAGAACTCTACTTCTGCCACTGAAAGCTTAAAGAATGTGGTCTCTGGACTCCCAACCCCACCTTAAGGGATGGCAAGAGTGCAGTGAGCTGGTGCAGCCTCCTGACCTTGTCTTCCTGGTTGACTGGATACCAGGTCTTTCTCTTTGGATTCTTGAGAAGCCATGTCTTCTGTATGACCAGAAAAAGGGAGACTTGGTCTCTGATCTTTCGCTTCCCAGGATCAATCATGATTTCAGGATCCAGTGGAACCACGTCACAGTGTCAGCCACTGTGCTAAACCCCCAGTTATGCCACTGCTAGGTCCTTTTCCCTTCTTGCACACTGTCAGGGAGGCCTAGTGTTCCACACCCATCTTTACTCTCTAGCCAGGTCTCTTAGGGATCTGTTCTCCTAAGAAGCTGTACCAGGAAGACCCTCCCTTCCATTGATGGTGTGCCAGGATCACCCCTCAGCCTTACACTCGAAGATCTGAGGGGTAGGGGAGGGTAGGAGCAGGGTGGGATGAGCCACAGGGTCCCTCCTTCAGGATTTCTGGTAGACCTAGAAGAAGCTGAGTATATTTTATTTTTTGGTACTGGCGATTCAACCCAGGGGCACTTTATGACTGAGCTACATCCCCAGTCCTTTGTTCTTTTTTTTTTTTGAGCTTGTTTCCCTAAGGTACTGAGGCTGGCCTTGAACTTGAGATCTTCCTGCCTTAGCTTCCCAGAAGGTGGGATTTCAGGGATGTGCACCCAGCAGAAGTGCATTTCATTTSAACACACTGTTCCTGAGCTGGAAGTGCATTAAAAAAAAAAAAAAAATCTGGGCTGGGGGTAAAACTCAGTGGTAGAGTGCTTTTTTAGTATTTGTGAGGCCTTGGGCTTGATTCCCAGCAATATAAAACCCAAAACAGAAAACAAACTAAAAGATAGATATTGAGGTTTAACACAAGGTAGGTAGAATCATGGATGTTTTAATTTTCTTCTTTTAGATTATCTGGGTTTTCTAGTATTTCAGGAATAACTTTTGAATTGTTTTTAAAATGAGACATAAGGGGCTGGGGATGTGGCTCAAGTGGTAGTGCGCACGCCTGGCATGCATGCRGCCGGGGTTCGATCCTCAGCACCACATACCAACAAAGATGTTGTGTCTGCCAAAAACTGAAAAATAAATATTTAAAAAAAAAAATAAAATGAGACATAAACTTTATTCTAAATTGCAAAAGAAAAAATAAAATAAAATTGATGGAGTGCTCATTCACTTCTATCCCCTTGCTTAGGAACATTGTGCTATCGAGAGAGATGTGGCAAACCTCAGAAACAGAGGTCTGCTGAGATTTTACCTCTGCTCTTGACCAGTTGGGTGACTTGTTCTATGAGACGTTATTGTTTTATTATTATTTTTGTACCAGGGGTGCTTAACCACTGAGCTGCATCCCCTGCCCTTTTTATATTTTATTAGAGACAGGGTCTTGCTATGTTGCTCAGGGCCTCCCTAAGATGCGGAGGCTGGCTTTGAACTCACAATTCTCCTGCCTCACCCTCCCAAGTGCTAGAGTATGAGACTTTCTAAAAAAAAAATATTTATTTATTTATTTATTTTTATGTGATGCTGAGGTTTGAACCCAGGGCCTCACATGTGTGAGGCAAGCACTCTACCACTGAGCTACAGCCTCAGCCCARCCTACAACCTCAGCCTAGGAGTATGAGATTTCTTAAGATGTCTATTTCTTCATCTCTAGATAGGGACAGGGTACCTGTGTTACACACTGGTGATGGGTGTGAACACAGGCTCTGAGCCAGACAGATCTGGGTTCAAATCCTAGGTTTTGCCACACACCAACACACCAGCATTTTTTTTTTTTTTTTGGAAGTGCTTGGGATTGAACCCAGGCAGGGCCTTGTGCATGTGAGGCAATCACTCTACCAACTGAGCTATATCCTTAGTTCCTACACACAGCCTTTTGACTTTGAATAAAAAAGTTTGTTTCCTTATCCCTAAAGTAGAGATGACAATAACACTATATTTTTGTGAGCATTATTGAGGTAATCAAGTTGTTGGCTCAGTACTTAGTATATGGGAAGCTCTCTATAAACAGCAGTCATGTGGACAGGTCTAAAATGAAGTAGTAAGGGGGCTGGGGATGTGGCTCAAGCGGTAGTGTGCCCGTCTGGCATGCGTGCGGCCCGGGTTCGATCCTTAGCACCACATACAAACAAAGATGTTGTGTCTGCCGGAAACTAAGAAATAAAATATTAAAAAATTCTCTCCTCACTCTCTCTTTAAAAAAAAATGTTATTAAAAAAATGAAGTAGTAGGTTTTTAAAATCAATGTGATTTCCTTCCCTTTTTTCCTTCTTTTCTTTCTCAAAAAGAGGCAGTAGAGAAGGTACAGGTGGAAAGGGTGGTATAGAAACAAGAGGGGAAAAAAAGAAGCGTAAAAAAAAGAATCAGCCAGGACTGGTGGCACAGGTCTGATATTCCAGCAGCTCAGGAGGCTAAGGCAGAGGATTGCTAGTTCAAAGCCAGCCTCAGCAACTTAGTGAGACACTTAGCAATTCAGTGAGACCTTGTCTCTAAGGAAAATGTAAAAAAGGGCTGAGTATGTGGCTCAGGGTTAAGCACCTCTGGGTTCAATGCCCAGTACAAACAAACAAACAACAACAACAAAACCCAAAGGGCAAAGGTTTTCTCCTCAAAGGTCCTTACTATCCCTCTGGAATAGTGTCACTGCTTCCTCAACATACACACAGGACTCCAATCCTATTGGGAGCAAATGATCCAGACAGATGGTCAGCGGCCAACCCCTCCTGAAGCCCCAGAGTCCTCTCTGCTGCAGTTTAACACTGTCTTCCTCCTGTCCCAGCAAAGACTCCCCAAACAGCTGGCTCACTAATCCTAACCCCTTCTTCTTCCCCATGAAGGAACTGACTTAGGGTGATGGGTACTAGTACTTAGTGCTCTCTTCCTGGCAATGCCAGACTCTACCACCTCACTACCACCAGAAGAACTAGGGAACAGCAATGGGTTTTTATAAGGGTTCTGCCATCCTCAATTGTGAGGAAGTTTAGGAAATCCCAAGCTACTTCCAGAAACTTCTTGTCCCCTGTCCCCATAACTAGTTTCATAAAGGGATTATCACTTATTTGCGTGTTTTCATGTTTGCTGGGGTCAACAATGTAAGTGAACAGATGAGTAGGAGGCTGGAGAGGGCAGCCACCTCTTCACCCTTGAGTGTTGAGACATGAGGGAGCAAGGTCTTTAGCTCAGAGAAACTTCAGTGTCCTGATAGGAAGGCTCAGGGGGCATTTGGGCCCATACCTTTTTGAATCGCTTCTGGTTTTAACTTGGTATGACCCTCTGGCTGAAAACCAGARCTCCCAGGGTGATAGAGACGTCCCTGAGAGTTGGAAGGGAAAGAGTATTTAGAGGGAGGCAGCAACTGTGGCTGAAGAGGACTCTGGGTTGGGTGAAGAGACCTAGTGTGCATTCCCTCTTTGACTGAAAGCCAAAGAGGTAGCAGAGAAGGGAGCTAAAAGGGACTCCTCCCTTAATTCAAAGGGACAGCTATTTCCTCCCATTGCCTATGGGGTCTTGATCTCTTTTTTTCCCTCTGATCATTTAAGGCCATGGTTGTCAGCAAGTTTTAACTCTATAGAGAGAATTTTTGCTCATTCTTAAGCCAAGGAATTTGAGGGGTGTAGGAGGGAAAAGGAGTTTCTCCATGGGCTTGACCTGAGGAAATGAGTTAGGGGAGCCAGAGGATGGGGAGAGAGAGGAAAGAGAAAGCCACATATGAGTGGGGGAGGGAAGGATGCAACAGCTGGATGGAGAGGTATGATACAGCTGGAGGGGACTAGGGGCATCACAGGTGAAAGGTAAGGGGGTCCATTGCCAGGCCATCAGGAACAGGTGCTGCTTGTAATCTTCAGGTGGAGCCTGCTAGTTATACGTGTGGGGGAGGGGAAATACGGTGGGCACACCAGCCTTGCCCTTCCTTCTCTTCCCTGGAGGGAGCCAAACTCCCCCTCTGCCTTCCTTCTCCCATCTTGAGGGTGAGTGAGAGAAGAGGCTGTTCTCTTGCCTGCAGTCCTTTAAGTCTGTCCCTCCACCCCCATACATCCTTCACAGCCCTGGAGGCCCTTCCTCTCCAAGCTGGGCCGCGGCATCCCTCAGCTCCGTTCTCCTCCTTCCCATCCCCACTGGCGTCGGGTCCAGGTCCCCAGTTCTCCATCCCCACAGCCTCACCATCTCCGCGTCACCTCCTCCCCCACCATGCCACATCTGCATCCCTACCCTCCCTCCACACCCGAGTCCCAGGACCCAGACCCATCCTTGCACCCCACCCCCCCAACTCGGCCAGGCTCTCACCTCGGGGGCTCCGCGGCCGCAGCACAAAAGGCGGCGCTGCTGCAGCTCCGCTCCGGATGCTGCTCCCGCCTCCTCCTCCTTCTCCACCTCCTTCCCTCCTCCCCCCGCTGCCCTCGACCGGACCGGGGGCGCTGTCACAAGCGATGCTCGTGTGGTGTCCAGGTGTACCGGTGTCAGCGTCAGTTTTCCGCCCCCATCTCCTACCCTTAGCCCGGTCCCCACTCGGCTTGAACTCCCGCTCCTTCAAGGCCCCCGCCCCTGGCCCCCCGGGACGGACACGCCCTGAGCGGGGGATGCTGCGCTGGAGCCGCCGGCCTCTTAAAGGAGCCCGCTGCTGCCATCCGGCGCGCTCCAGGCCCGTCCCTGGACCGCCTGGGCCCCACGCCTCCTTGCTGATGGTGTCTTATAGCAGTTACACTTCGGGCCTTATGTTGATTCCGTAGGAACCCCCTATGGTCCGTCTTATGGACTCCTTCCTGTTCCCTGAGAGAGCAGCCCCTCAAATGGTATTCTCAGCACTCTGACATTGCTCCCCCCCCCCCCCCCCCCCCCCCCCCCCCCCCCCCCCCCCCCCCGTCATACCGATCTTGCCAGTTCTGCTTCCCTTGATTGTCACCGCTCGTTTTCCAATTTCACCCAATTGGAATCCACTCAGCTGTAGGCCCCATCCCCCTCAGTGTTCCTGGATGACCCCTCATCATTCCAAGATTCCTCTGTGCATTCCTCCTCGCCCCCCGCCTCCAACCTTAGAGCAAGACAACTATTCCCTGACCTATTCTCAAAACGCTCATCAGAATCAGACATTTTTTGTGATACCTCTTTCTCCAAGGTCACAAGATTTCCCCTGTATCTTTCAGTCAGTGCTTGCGAAGACTTTGGGGAAGGAGTGGGTCTTTGGGAGCCAAAAGTATATTTTCTGCTCTGCACCCAGAGACTCAAATCTCAGGGCAGAGGGAATAATACCAGGCACCATAGTTCTTCTTGTCCCACTACAGCCTGATTCTCGGGTCCCAGATTCCTGGCCAGTTAAGGAAATATTCACTAGGGTGGATCTACTGAGGCTTTCGGAGAGAAACAAAACCTGACAAGTTGCTTAGAGAGTAGAGGGTAAGGAGATTAAAGACAACCTAGGAAAATGAAGCAGGTTCTGTGACACTGTGGCCTGAGGGTCAGGGGTTTAGGCTTAGGCTGCGACTTAAGGGAGAACTGTCTGAGATGAACTTGAACCTACAACAACCCCATTGCTCTGGCGGAAGGGGGTGGTGGTAGAACAGCCCCCTCTAGCGTCCAGGTAAGGCCTACCCTCCGAGACCACGAAGAGGGAGGATCTGCCAGCAGCCTCCCAGGCCAATCACAACCTTTCCTCAAGGAGGCGGGTTCTCTTCCCTTGTCTCCGCCCCTCTGGGCCAAGTAGCCAATCGAAAGTAGCCTAGGAGAAGTAAACGCAATCGGAATAGCCAATGATGCCGTTGAATCTTTTGCGTGCTTGACTCTGCCCGTACAGCTGCGACAGAGTGACGCGCGAGTTGCTGGGTTTTGTAGTTTTCTAGGGGTTCAAAAGGCCCCAAGGCAAGTTAGCCCTCACTGTCCCGCCCCCAGCCGCTTCCTCTCTGCTACTACGCATGCTCACAGCCCGGGGGCGAGGCGGTGCAGCCCGCCCGCTGCTCGGGAAGCGTCCGCTCYTCCCAGAAGGCGGTGCAGCCAGCCAGAGCGAGCATCGCGGAGGGTTGTGGGGCGGGTAGCTCCCCTCTAGATGGAGACTCATGAAGTAGGGTAGGCGGAGGACTCCATATCCCAGCATGCCCCGCGGCGGGCCCTACCGGCCGCGATTCCGGGCTTGGCCCCGGCCCTAGCTCGTCGGCGGAATACTGGGGCGCGTGGAAGCTGTAGTCACGGTGGCGCCCATWGGGACGGAGGAGGGAATGAGCGAAGAGGAGCAGGGCTCCGGCACTACCACGGGCTGCAGGCTGCCCAGGTAAGCCGTCTTGTCCTCATCACCGCAGAGCGAAAAGTGTCTGGCGGTGCGGAAGGGTAGCGCCGAGGCCCCAGCATGCACCTGGCCTGAGGGTTGTTCCCGGCAAGCACTGGGGTAGTGGGCAGTGGTTCCCGGCATGCACCGGGGCAGTGGCCACCGCCTCCAGCTCTAAATAGTTAGGGGTTGGCTCGGTTCCCAGACTACACTGGAGCACTGGGCTTTATGCCCCCCACATTCAGTGCATTTGGTGGGTACTGGGTTCTTGGCCTGCACCGTGTCAGGGTCCCTGAACTTCCAATCAGCACGGGGCACAGGCTCCCTCGCCTTAAGTGAGACAGGAACAGTGCATTTCCCACTTGCCTTGGGGTAGTGGACCCTGTTTTCCCAGCTGCATCTCTAATTTGAACCCAGCCAATGGACACTCTGCGTGGGGTCCCCTGGACCCTGTGTCCCCCATAACATGCCTAGGTGTCGTGTGGCAGTGCTTGGTCAGGTGGGTGCAGAGGAGAGGTGTGATGTGGGTCTGTACCCCTTACCCCAGTATAGAGCAAATGCTGGCCGCCAACCCCGGCAAGACCCCGATCAGCCTTCTTCAGGAGTATGGGACCAGAATAGGGAAGACGCCTGTGTACGACCTTCTCAAAGCCGAGGGCCAAGCCCACCAGCCTAATTTCACCTTCCGGGTCACCGTTGGCGACACCAGCTGCACTGGTGAGGAAGGCTTGGGCGGCCTGGCTGGGGTGTGCATTTAAGGGCCCATTGCTTTGTATCGTGGAATCTCTCTTCACAGTCCTCTTTTCCAAGGCCAGTAAGATTTCAGGATATTTCAAGATTACAGAGATTCCAGGGGAAAAGCCACTGACTGTAGTGGCAGAACAGGACTATGAGAAGTGGGTAGACTTGGGGAAGTCAGAGGAGTGAGTAGGACTGTCTTGGGGATCTGGCAGGTCCCCATCACCCCAGAGGAAAAGGAGAGAATACTTTACATTTTCAGTGGATATTTGGGGGAGTGAGAGCTACCATGCCGGGCTCTATATCTGAATATCAGTAAACTGAGTATCAAATTGAATGGCTGGGACACTGTCATATGTCTAGTAAGTGGCACAGTAGGGCTTTGTAGAGCCTACTCTATTGTTCCAGCTGTTTATTGAGGGAAAAGAAAGTACTTTGCAGAGGGAAGTAAGGCAGAGAAAGAGTCTCCACCTAAAGGGAGCTCAGAATTCCTTCTTGGCATGGCATAATTCTAGGAGCTAATAGAAAGGTAAGGGCCTTTCTTTCCAGCAGTTAGTGAACCGTTCTAGTCTTGGGCAGGGGGAGGATGGTCAGAGGAACTTGATTGACTCCCTCTGGCTGTGAAGAAAGAGACTGGGATGCTGGTTTCTCTTCTGTTCTTCCAGTGACCTCCAGTATTGCCCACACCCCCTCTCTCAGGTCAGGGCCCCAGCAAGAAAGCAGCCAAGCACAAGGCAGCTGAGGTGGCCCTCAAACACCTCAAAGGGGGGAGCATGCTGGAGCCGGCCCTGGAGGACAGCAGGTGAGGGAGGAACAGCCAAGGCACCTAGAAGTCCTGCCAGGAACCCAGGCCCTGTACCACCTTCCACTCTCCTTGAGCCTGGCCTGGTGACCTTTACCACCCTGACCTTTCCCCTTCCAAGAGTTTCCTCTGGACCCAAACAGAGTGTTTCCAGGGCTTCTGCTGCTGTGAAGAATTCTCTGGGGAATAGCCAGCCCCTTTGCAGGATTATAACTGTAATTGGGGTTGGGTTTAGGGAGGGAGGGGGTGGGGAGAGGAGGCTGAGGTTGACAGGAGTTGCTCCCTTACATGCTTCCTCTTATTAGCAAATATGTCCTTCCCTCTTCTATGCTCAGGTTGGAATTTGTTGTTCCCATGGTTCTTGAGTAGGAAGAGACTTTTTTTCTAAGATGACATTTTCTCAGTCTTTTTGAGCCAGTAGGGGCAGCAAAGCATCCCAGGAGGAAGATGTTGGGTCTCTTTGAGTCTGGCTCAGTTGAGAAGTTCTCTTAAGGCACGGGCAGGTCAGGAGACCTGAGTCCCCACCCCTCTATTCTCCCTGCACCTGGGTGTGAATCCAAGACCCCCTTCCCCTCGGGAAGTTCTTTTTCTCCCCCAGACTCTTCACTGCCTGAGGAGGTTCCGGTTTTTGCTGCTGTGGCAGTTGCTGCTCCTGTTCCATCCACTGTCTTAATCAGGTATCTTGTGTTCCCTGACTGCTGTAAAGGGTGGGGAGGAGAAGGTCCTGGCTCCTGGCTCCTCAGCTAGGCTAGTCAGGCGTGAGGAAGCCTGAYAGTGACCAAAGAATGGAATAGTTGGGGACAAGAGCTTGCAGAATTTGCACCAATTGGTAAGCTTTTGGGACAGGGGGTAATTTATGATTTTTTATTTTTTGGTGGGGGGATACAGGGAATTGAAACAAGGGGTACACTACCACTGAGCTACATCCGTTTTTTAAATTTTTTGAGACAGGTTTTTGCTAAGTTGCTGAGGCTGGCCTTGAATTTGGCTATCTTCCTGCCTCAGCCTCCTAAGTCACTGGGATCACAGGCATTCACCACCATGCCTGGCTTAATTTATGATTCTTAAATAGCAATATGGATGAAGTCTGATGATATTTAATGGTCTTGTAGTCTACAGTTTCTTCTGGGTTGACCATTTGATGATTCTGTTTGAGATCCATTAACTGCTCTGGGACTAGCTATTCAGCCCTTCTCCCACCGTCCTGGGGAGATGATAACCAAATATTTTTTAATCTAAATGCACCTGGGCCTAGAGGGCACTTCTTTTGTGGGGGAGTGGGAGGAAGCAGGCCAGAAATAGGGAGATGGCATGGGAAAACCAAGCAGTGGTTAAGACTTGGGCTTGTGGGTAGCCCCAGAAGGAACCATTCTCAGCTTTGGCCTGGGCCCTTTTTCCTTCAGGAGCCCCCCCATGGAGATGCAACCCCCTGTCTCCCCTCAGCAGTCTGAGTGCAACCCCGTTGGTGCGCTGCAGGTGTGCCCCCATCCTCATTTTCCATGCATGCCTGTCTTCCCTTGAACCAGGGGCTGCAAGAGTTTGTGGGTGGGGCAGTTACCTTGTACTAAGGCCTTTCCACACCCCTCCTTCCTGTCATCTAGAGTTTGAGGCTTTTGGGTAAGGGCCAGTGTGGATATAGGGAGTCTCTTCTTACTTGGCCTTGTGCTCCCTGTGTCTCCTCTCCAAGGAGCTGGTGGTACAGAAAGGCTGGAGATTGCCAGAGT